AGCAAAAATTACTGTTGCTGCTGCTAATTATTATTACTTGTTACGATTTGATTGATTAATCCTTATCCATTAATCCCTGTTACAGTTTTAAACTACAATGTGTTAATTTCACGTAATGAATTGAACGTCAGTGGTCGACAGGTCGAATTAAAAAAATTAGAAATTGGAAAACATGCTAGACAACAATCCACTGCAATAGTTTCTCATTTTAATTTTGCGCATATCAGTAATATATATATACAACTTACTGTAAATAAGAACAACGTTTTGATTTAACACTTTGTGCTAGATACAAAGACAGTGATAACAAACTAAATTTCATCGGCAGACAATTATTTTAGTTTCATAAAACCCATTACACTATGAACTTATCTGTACAAGAAAAAAAATTGGTATAATTTATAAAAAACATTATCCAAAACATGTTGACAGACGCCTGCTGAATCCGTTACAAAGTTTGTTTCTTTTGAATAACGATGTGTATGCATATCATATAGATAAGATTGTTTAAATGGTCAGAAATGTTTGGCTTTTTAATAAACAAACACTACGTGAGACATAGGAGGTAATCCCACTAAAAAGAATTTTAATCAAAATGCAGAAACAGAGGCACAGCTAAGCGTCGGGGCAACAGGCGCGCTCCTGAAGGTGTTTTTTATCCAAGGACGTCTAATAACACTAATAGTTACGAGGTAACCCAGGAAAAGGACACGTATGCAAAAAAACATAGGTTTCCCGTACTCGTTTAGTTCTGCTTTAGGAGCAACTAAGCGTCGGGGCAAAGGCTGCGCTCCTGAAGGAGTTTTTTATCCAGAGATGTCAAATACCATTAATAGTTATAGGGTAACCCAGAAAAAGGACACGTATGCAAAAAAACATAGATTTCCCGCACTCGTTTAGTTCTGCTTTAGGAGCAGCTAAGCGTCGGGGCAAAGGCTGAGCTCCTGAAGGAGTTTTTTATCCAGAGACGTCTAGTAACACTAATAGTTATGGGGTAACCCAGGAAAAGGACCCATATGCAGAAGAAAACATGGGTTTCACACACTGATTTAGTTCTGCTTATCAAGTCTATCATAAAGTTTTATGGAATTAAAGTATTATCAATTTTCTTAAGAAAAGCGTTACATAAGACAATATTACGTCGATGAATGTCAAATTGGAAAATAGATTAAAAAGGACCCGTAATTATGAATAGTTTCCTTCGATTTCGCAAAAAACACATTTCTGCCTAAGCATAGATCTCCTTAGTCCTTGCAATATTATGGCGCCTTATGCTCTACAAATGTAATATGAAAATTGGAAAAACTTTGGCGATTGTTGTAGAACAAACAGAATAGCTCAAAACGCCAACGCCAAAACAAGACACTGTAGTTGTCCGAAGCACTTTTCGGTAACAAAGTTACCTTCTTCAGGGACTGAAGTAAACCTAAATGAGAACTAATCCTAATTTATACTGATAGTTGTTAAGGTTCAGTGAACATGACCCGGTGCCAACAAGGTAGATGTTCAATGGACCTTAACATCAACATCAAGACGTGATTAAACTAGACTAAATAGCGGAGATCCAGGAATAGGACCGTTGTCATTGTTAAGAACAATTTGTTTATTTTTATAAATGTATAAACTTTCAAAACTGTTTAGTAAACGATTATTCCTAACTTCTTTAACTAACTTAAGGTTATTAATATTAATATTATGTCCATCAGTAAGAATATGTTGGGNTATTTTTATAAATGTATAAACTTTCGTTTATAAAAATAAACAAATTGTTCTTAACAATGACAACGGTCCTATCCCTGGATCTCCGCTATTTAGTCAAGTTTAATTACGTCTTGATGTTGATGTTAAGGTCCATGGAACATCTACCTTGTTGGCACCGGGTCATGTTCACTGAACCTTAACAATTATCAGTATAAATTAGGATTAGTTCTCATTTAGGTTTACTTCAGTCCCTGAAGAAGGTAACTTTGTTACCGAAAAGTGCTTCGGACAACTACAGTGTCTTGTTTTGGTGTTGGGGTTTTGAGCTATTCTGTTTGTTCTTCTACAAATGTAGAATCGAAATTTTGCACTTCCAAATTGAAAAATTAGTTAACAAGACACGCAGTTATGAATAGTTTCCTCCGATTTCGCAAAAAAAACATTTCTGCCTAAGCATAGATCACCTTAGTCCTTGCAACATCATGGCGCCCTATGCGGGACAAATGTAGAGTGATTTGAATCGCTGTAAAGAGAGAAGTTTTACGCATCCAAACCGGAAAAGTGACTAAAAAAGTGCTTCGATTTCTTAAAAACATATTTTGATCAATGCATAGGTCACCTTACTCCATGCGACATCATGCCGCCTAATGCGGTACAAATGTAGAGTGATTTGAAACGCTATAAAAATTAGAATTTCGCTCTTCCAAATTGAAAAATTAGTTAAAAAGACACGCAGTTACGAATAGTTCCCTTCGATTTCCCAAAAACACAATTTTCGTCTAAACACTTAATCCTGCCGCCATATGCGGTACAAATGTAGAGTGATTTGAATCGCTGTAAAGAGAGAAAATTTACGCATCCAAACCGGAAAAGTGACTAAAAAAGTGCTTCGATTTCTCAAAAACATATTTTGGTCAATGCACATGTCACCTTACTCCATGCGACATCATGCCGCCTTATGCGGTACAAATGTAGAGTGATTTGAAACGCTATAAAAAGCGAAATTTTGCGCAACGAAATTAGAAAATTGGCTTGAAACTATCTATGCATATAAAGAGCGAAATTTTACGTGTCCTTTGAAAATTGCTTTGTCATACGCATACTTTACTAATTAAGTAGAGATAACAGCAAATAACAGTAGGTGGCATCTCCATTTAATCTAAGTATTTGAAAACGACAATGATAATCAGTTAATTTTGCTCCTGCCATAAATTTTTCGGCACCATTTTTTCCATAAGTTTAATAATTATAAAATAATACGCAAATTATGTTTTATGAACAAATGATAAATATTGTACATGTTCTAGTAATCTTTTTTTTTTTTTAATTTTATATGTGTATGTGTGTGTGTGTGCGCCTGATTAAAATTTAATGACTGGCATTACCAAGATGTTACAAAACAAACAAAAAAGACATGCTAGAGACACATTGTTTCATATAATTAATAAGTATATTTGTACATTTGTCTACTATTAAAACAAATATGTATTAAGTAATAAATAATATTGAAGCAATTGGATTCAAAAGTCAAGTGATAACAGAAAACCGGTTATATCCAGTTACGAGGTCAAGTTAATTTTTCTCTTATCTCTCTTATCATGGCCCCACTGTTTGAAAAAATGTAGAAACTGGATTTTACCGGTTTCTAGTGACTTTTAAACGACTTTCTGCACTTTCAGCCCAAGTTGCCTCCCATTGACGGAAATATAAGCGCTTTCGAAAAACGAGAAAGCGCATTTATATGCGCTCAAATCCATTTTACACAAAAAAATACTTTCCAAATCATAGTCAATATTTAATGTGATGTTCAATAGCAGCTTCTACCCTATTGAACTGATCTTGGTGTGTGAGATATACAGTGGAATTCATTTATTATGACTCCGCCTATATTGACCAACCGCTTAATATGTAATTGCAGTATTAAGTTTGGTTTTCATATTAAATTCTCTATAGGAAAGTTTGGATATAATGACTCCGTTTAAAATGACATATCATTTATTATTACAGATTCTCAAGAAATCATATCCGGCTATAGTGACCCAAATGATTAATAATAACATTTTCGCTCACTTTTCTGACCCTTATTTATATTGTTATTACAATTCTCTTTCTGTTATTAGTAGTTTTTTTCTCTATTAAACTAAATAACTAACCAAAATAGAAAGTTGTTTGTTTTCTAAGACTATGCTTTGTATGACGCCTGCTCAGTATTTGTATTTGTCATTTACCTTCGATGTCGTTATAAGCGGATTCTACTGTATATAAATTCTCTTGTAAGTTGTATGGAATAATTCATGTCAGTAACATACCGTATGTAGACCAATAAGTGAAAAATTCAACCCATTCTCATTTGCATGAATTAGTTAAAAATTGATTCCAGAAATAAAAACTGAATGTATACAATAAATATTTTGTTGAATAGTGGCATATGTTCTCAACTAATATTGTAAATGGGAATGTTTGTTTGTTACGCATTCACACCTAAACTACTTAGCCGATCGTCATGAAATTCTGTACAAATATAGTCAGGGGTACAGGAAAGGTCATAGCGTACCTTTTATCCAGAAAAAAAAATACTATTCCCAAAAAATAGAAGAACTTCTTTTCAATACAGCAAAATTCATGTACATTATATACATAATCAGAAACTTTAGTTTCATCCTAATTATCCTGGTCAGAACAAATTTATCAAATTATTGTATTTTAGATGACCATTGATCCAGGACATCAACGCGAGCAAACCCGTAGGAAAAAGCTTGGTAAAAAGTACAGTAATTTTCCTGAATGATGAGAATACCCTGAATAGAGAAGATTAGAAATGAAGAGGTATTAGAAAGAATAGGAGAATAGAGGACTCTATGGAAGTCAATAAAAAATAGGCGAGATAGGTTGGTAGGCATGAAAGTTTAGTCAGAAACATATTAAAAGTAGAAACAGGAGTAGAAGTAGACCTAGATTAGATTACTGTTCGCAAATAGTTAAGGACGTGGGATGTTGGGAGAAATGCGAAGATTAGCTTGGGATAGGAAAGAGTGGAGGTGCGTGTCCAACCAATCTTAGGACTGACAACCTTATGATGATGAATTTATTTTAGTCCAAATTTTGTCAATATGGTACATGACAGGCGATACGACAAACTTGTATTTCGTTAATGTCTAACGTTTCCAACAATTTATTTCTCAAGTGCGCTCATGAGGAGATTTACTTCAAAAATTGTCTGTTTTTTTTTGCATATAAATCCATCCTAACAGTATCAGCATAAAAATAAAACAACTGTGTTATCAGTACGTCAAATAAATCATTTAATACTTCTGACGCCCGTGTTAAACAACGAGTTTACAATACCGCAAATCTTAACATGTGTATTTAACGCCTAATATTCATTGTCTAGTAAATATTGTCATTTCGACGCTTGTAGCGGTAACAAGTACTTGAAAAAAAAATCGACAATTACTAAATTTTGTAGTTTACCACAGTTCTATTTTATAACTTTTGCACAACAATGTTCCATTACGATCGCAGATTCTTGGAGGGTAATCCCCTACGTTACTACTACTACCCTAATAATTATCCACAAAACCAATTCGAACGGCATTTTTTCCCCGGTTTGGACCATTTGGACGTGTACAAGGAGACAACTATGCCACTTCCACCCATAAGTCCACAAGTAAGTTTTTAAGTGTATATTCTTTTATTGAAGTACTTGAAAAGACTTATTGAAAACTAAAATAGTGCCAATTGTAAAATGTGTTTTCCGTTTTATATTTTCGTAGAAAATCAGTTTAAAATTTAATGACACACTTTTTTCAATCTAAATATTTTTCGAAATATGTAAAAAAAAAATAACGGAAGAACTTATACTTGTTTGTTAAACAAAATGGACCTATTTGATTTATATTTTTTTGAACAAAAGTAAGAATAAAAATGTTAAGTAACCATACTTAATAAAAAAACTTGATTAAAGATAACATACAAACATACAATTAGAATTTGATTGCGATGTACGTAATGCCCAAAAGCGAACTCCGATTTGGCCTTGTTGAGTTATTGTATATGTATCCATTTTGAACGTAAATAAAGGCCTTCAGAAAATTAGAAATAATTGAAAAAATAGAAACAAAAAGTTATTGAAAAAAACAATCAATCATGATACATACATGCAGTAGGTTTTTAAAGATAAGTCAATCATATAAAGGTAAAAAGATAATGTACTAGGTACTTGTTTTAGTTACACAAAATTGACGTATTAAAAACCAAACCCACAAATTTATTATTTTGCATTTAAAAATGAATAATATTATTGTTAATCTTTGAACCGTTTTTAATTATTTATTATTTGTATTTTCACTGCAGGGGAATTTTCTCCATTTGTTGTTCTCATGAAATGATCGGGAATGTACAAAGTTTGCTTTCCAAAGATAGCAAAAAGTTCAAGGTTTTTATGTTCCACATACGATTATAAAGCTAATTCCTACACTAATGACCCTGAATATTTTTTGAAATTTAAATTAAATAAAGGCCTCTAAAGTTTCAACGCTTATTTATATCTAAGATATGGACTAGTTTTCCTCCTTTGGTGGGAACACCGATGGTGTTATTTAGTCGACTTTCCCTTCACCAACGACAGTTTTTAAATACGCAAAGAAAAATTAAACTATTTACGAGTTGAAACTTTGAAATCCAATGAGATGAACTTTTAATCGATTTATGCAAAAAACAATTAATAAAGAAATACTGATAATTGGAATGACTATTCTATAAGGCCCAATTTAAGTGCAAAAAAATAAACAACCATTTAATAGCACCTTTTTATACACAAGTAAAAAATAACATCATTCTTTCGCGTGCATTTTTATATAGACAGTTCAAAAAACACTTTCAAAAAATCTTCAAAATCTATTGTTATAATTCCCTTCATTTCTGTATCTCTTAGTCGAAAAGCATCAGTAAAACGTAGTATTTGTACGCAAATGACTATAAATTGATCAATAGTGATCGGTTTTTTGCTTGTCGTGTCGGCAACGGACACCAATAATTTAATAAATTCAGGTGAAAATCTATAACCCATCTGGTGTAAAGCCAATGCAAGTTCTGGTTCTTCTATATAACCAGATCGATCTTTATCATAAGCGTAAAATATCGCCAGCCATTGATTAATATACACATATAACTCTTGAAATTCGTTAATATCGATTGTACCATTTTTATCGCGATCAAACAGTCCGATCATGAGTTTACAACATGTATCAGAAAAGTGTTTGCCCTGTGCATTTTTTAATGCCATTCTCAATTCTTCGGTAGTTATTTTACCAGAATCGTCTTTGTCTACTACATGAAACGCCTTTATTATTTCCTGCAGGATTTCTTGGGGATAAGGAGGTGATTGGGGACGTACGGATGCATAATTTGTAGTACTACTTTCCATTTTAATTGAAAGATTAAATGCGAAAAATTTAGAAAAGTTCGTTGTCAACTGCAATTAAATTTTAATACGTCAATTTTTAATAATATGTCAAAGCTTATATGAAGTACTTAATGCAGAACTTAGACATCAAAATAAGAACAGATAAAATAAATCAGAATAACTTGATTCTGTTAAAAAACGATTTCAATTGTAATTCAAAATTTACAATTGCTTCGTAACGTTTCGTTAGCATGAGTTTCTTGAAGTCCTTCCATGTCCATATCCAGCATCGGAAATGGAAGGGCCTCTAACACACGATGGTCTTTAGATAATAATTAAGGGTTTTTCTAATTAATTTGTAAAGTTCTATGTTATTTAATGTAAATTGTTCTTTTTTGTTACAGAGTGATAGTGAAAATTCCGTTTGTAGCGTAGAAGTGCCATACAAAGAACTGAAACCAATTCGATCACAAAATACTTCGAAATCAGATTGCAATTGTCATTGGATTAATTGTGGACTGGGATTTGAATCTTTGGATTTATTGGCCAACCACGTTAGCAGAGTGCACGCAGCAAGCGGTCCAGGAGGTCTTTTTTACTGTCGTTGGGAAGGATGTACCAGAAATAATAAAGGCTTTAATGCGAGGTACTTTTCGAACTATTATGTATAAAATTAACTGCGTTACCCCTTCAGTTGTTCTTTAAAAAAATTGTCATATTAAGTTCATTTAAAGTCCCTCGCTTCCTTTACGTTTTTTTTACGTTACCATAATGACGAAAACAAACAAAACGAACCCGTCGTACAGTGTGACTTCTTTAGGGCAAACAAACAATAATTAGGTATTTATTATCGGCCTAGATATATTAATTTTTATTAGCTGAAGCGATGACAATTAATAAAAGTGTAATTTACCACCAGTTTGATAAAAAGGATTTTAAAGATATTATTGGATTTAGTATTTATAATGTGTCTATGATGTATGATTACTTATTTGAATCATTCTTCGTAATAAGTTTTCTGCTTGGATTTGATGTAATCTTTTCAAAAAATTGATCCCCATTTAAATTTATTTATGCTCATAATCGCTTAATACCGATAAATGAAGTAAATAGAAATAGAATAGCTTCATTGTTTTGGTATTTATAAATCGACAAGATTACAGAAACTATCTCCCTTTTTATAATAAATAAATATATAATAATTAGATGCAAAGGAATGTATGCATTTTCTACTGCAGCTTCAAATAATAAAGTAATACTTAGATACATTTTTGATTACCTAAATCTAACCAGGGTTTGTTATCTAAACCCAGTTAAAATTGACGCTTGAAGAAACTCCTCTCGCAACGGAAAATCAGTAGAAATATTGCGCAATATTGCCAAGTTTTTATAGTGCTTAATTTCAACTGAACTTACTCATTAAAATAAGAACTTAAACCCTAAATAAAGATCCACTTATACCTAATATTATTATTATTGTACATATGAGTACAATAAACATTTTAAAACAGCCAGATCAAAAGCAAACTGATTGTAAATTAATTAAAGGCAAACTTACCACTTTCGACAAAATATAAACACTGCATAGACGTTCTACACAATCACTATATTTTTTAAAAACATTTATCAGTTCAAAATTATAGTTTTTCATCATAAACGAACTGACCGGTGCAAAACACGAGGAACACGGAATTTTTAAATGTTAACTTTTATCATCGTATTCAACACGATAGCATCTCGTCTATCCGAATTACTTTCACTGCCCTTGACTGTTTCAAGGACATCATACACAAACAAAACAATAGGGACCATTCGTTGTTTTCGACATAAAATGTGCATTTATTAAATTTAAAAACATCCCAAAATAACATTTGTTTAAAAAAGTGGAATAAAATGATTTAAAGAAGTTTCATTTAAATATTTCACACACAAAATCAAATTGCTATTTTAAAGATATTACCTATCCATAAAAAATGAAATTAAAATTACTTTATATTGGGAACCGTGTGGATTTCAGGGGTCACATTTTATTTATTTGTTTAATTATGCCACTTCAGATAATAAAAAGGGTTTTCTTGAATCTTGCAATTTTATAAACTATGTATTGTTAATCAAAATTTGATAAAACCTACTTATAAAACGACGAAGTTTGTTTATCAACTTTTTTTAAGATAACATTGGCCCGTAATCTTTTCCTTCCTGCAGTTTTTTTTTCTTCGCATCTTTCGACAGAATTAATACAATATTATTTACTTAAATAACTAATTTTTCGTTTTTTATTGTTACAGATACAAAATGCTAGTCCACGTTCGAACTCATACCAATGAAAAACCCCATAGGTGTGGTCAATGTGAGAAGTCATTTTCTAGAGCAGAAAACTTAAAAATCCACGTTCGTTCCCACAGCGGGGAAAAGCCCTATGTTTGTCCAGTTCCTGGGTGCACCAAAGCATATTCAAACTCGAGTGACCGATTCAAACATACAAGGACTCATCAAGTGGAAAAACCGTACCAGTGCAAAGTACCCGGATGCCCCAAAAGGTACACGGACCCCAGTAGTTTACGAAAACATGTTAAAACGTACAAACATTTCGTCAATGAAGAAAAACATTTGTCAGAAAACAAATCAAGAAATGTAAGCGTAATCGTATCGAACATCAAAGAAAGAAATAATGAATTACTTATAAAACCTGAGCAACGTTTATTACCAATTACAAACGAGACAACAGTAAATTGTTGTAATTGTAATTGCACCCACAAAAATTGCTGCATACCTGTCGAAGAAAAAGACTGTATCTCGTACGAAAAAATGATTTGTACGAATTTTAACGCCGTTTCGTGGAACATGTTGACCTCATACGCCACAAACAAAGAAATTTATAAACCTTACGACCTAAAACAAGAGGAAATGGACATTGACTTACCTTTAGATTTAAGCATAAGTGCCAGACAATAATGTTGTTCTAGTACGTATTAATTTTATATTTATTATTACCTATAATTATTTTGTGTTCATGTTTTATGTACTGTTGGTGTGTTATGAATGTTACTATTGACGTGTTTTCAGAGTTTGTATTTATTTATTATATCATAAATAAAATACGTTTACTTAATTGTTTTGAGTGAGTATTTGTTACTTTTTATGTTTTTGGGAAGCTTAAAAGGTCCTTAAAAATGAAAAGAGCCCATCAAGATTGGTCTTATCTTAATTAAATTATATTGCATTTTTATATTCTTAAAGTAATAAGAAAGAAGTACTTTTAAGTTAAGAGATTTCTTATATATAGAATGCTGCAAAGTAATGTGTGTAGAAATTAGAACGTTTTAAAATCAAAAATTTATTGAAATAGTTTTAACTTTCTTACAAATTTTTTAAACGTGCAATATAAAAACTAAATTTACTAAATTTGCAATTAAAAAAATAAGTTACAGTATAGAAATTACAGTACTCTTAAAGATAATACAAACACTCTATTACCAGTAAAATATATACTTCACGTTACGTTTTTTTTTTTTAATTTTATTTATTAATAAATTTACATGCAATTGTACGTTTAAATTTTAGGTTGATATTTCGATAAGTCCTTTAACCCATCGTTTATTGTTTTGAGTGCTTGCAAGTCTAAATTAATGATATTAACTAACTGACTTATACCATTCTGTTGCATTCTAAGGAACTGTTTAATATCATCAAGCGCAGAACTATCAATTCTGTAGTTTTCTTTTGGAATAACAAAACCACCGGTTAATTTAACATATGACAAAAGTTCGTTCAGAAGTCCCTGTAAAAGTAAAAAATTAAAGCAACTTTAACGCCTTAAGTTGGGAACAATTTTCATAAAAAGTATTATAATTATTTTAACCAACTACCCATAAAATACCTAAACCTTAAGGAAAATGGAAAATATCTCATATTTCAATAGAAAGTATATATTTTTAATTAGCTTACCCTGTACTGGTTTGGAATTCCCAATTGAGCATGCATAGCTTCCAATCTAGCCCTTAGCATTTCTTCCTCAGGCTGAAGGGCCATTCCAACTTTTCTGGTACATTCTTGCTTAACCAATATCTGCGTAAATAAATAAATAATTATTCAATACAACTATAAGAACTTCAAATTAATCAAAGTGCTGTTCAATACTCACCCTTAATGTTCTATGTTGTAGGGCAAGGAACTTTTGTTTCATTTCGGCTATTTGCGCCAAAGACGCGGTATGTTTGCTCTTTACTTCCTTAATTTCACGAATAACTTTAGCTAAAAAGGCACGATGCAAACCTGTTTCGTATTCCTGGGTTAACATTCGTCTCTTAAGGTCTGCAAAACCATTTATTACAGTAGGCAGATACTTATTTGGATTTGGGTTGTCAATTTGCGCCATTTGCCACATTGTGGGATCAACCCCTAAAAAATAGTTCATACACAATAAGAAGTAATGATTGAGTAATTTTTTTTTCATAAACATACCTTGTCCAGGATTTTTCAAGTACTCTTCGATCTGCGCCTTTGTTGGAGTTACATAAGGAAAAATACTGGTAACCCCCACATTAGTTAATTGTTGTTTGTTCATAGGTTGATTTAAGAACGAGGACAAGTCACTGGCTGGAATTTTTCGAGTTTGACCGGTTGCCCCCTTCTCAGAAACGATTACTGTCACCTCAGTTCGATTACCATCTAGATTTTTTATTGTTTCAATTTCAACCGTTAAATTCGGTTTATTTCCTAATATTCCTGATAATCCTTTAATAAGTACATCTTTTTGATTCCTACAATTAAAACAGATACAGAAAATCCTAATTAACAATAGCATCATTAAACATTTCATTTACATCAATTCTGATTCCTTTTTATTAAATGTTAATTTTACTAGTCCCTCTGAATTTTCAGCATTGGGTATCACAGTATAACCGACTGCTTTAAATCTGTAGAACTGATTTGAATGGTCATACTCTATGGGAGGCTGATGCTGACTGTAGTAGCCTTTCCCAGTGCCCCAACAAGCTTGTAGCATGTTCCATTTTTTTAACACATTATCTCGCTCATCTCCAAACACGTTTATCGCATATATAGAGGCTAGTACCTGTTGATTCTTATCCACTGGGGCAGCAGTTTGTCCTAAATAATATATTATTGTTAATGCTAGTTTCCTTACAAAAATGTTGTGGATTACTGATATTATTAAATATCTTTTTAAAATTAATACCTGGAGCAGTGAGTGGTTTTTGACCAAATGCTGTAGTTCCAAAAGGAGTAACAGATGCAGTTGTACCAAAACCAGGAAAGGTGGTTCCGAATCCTCCAAAACCTGATTGTGTTGTTGTAGTTGTACCTAAACTGCCAAATAAACTTGGAGCTGATGTAGTTGTAGGGCCAAAAAAGCTGAAGCCAGTAGATGTTGTGGTAGTTGCAGCTGTTGTACCTATAAAAAAAGATGATAAAATTTATTGAAACATAAATGGCACATTCGTTGTACCCGATCCAAGGCTAAATTGCGGTGCTGATGCGGATCCAAAAAGCGACGGTTGTGTTGTGGTCGCAGTACCAAAAAGTCCGCCACCAGCTGGCTGAGTAGCAGAACCAAACAACGGAGGTGCAGTCGACGAAGTGCCAAACAGGCTCGGGGTAGAAGTTGCAATTGATCCAAATAAACTTGGCGCTTGGGTGGTTGTAGTTGTACCAAAAAGACCTCCTGTAGGGGCCGAAGTACTACCAAACAATCCTCCTATTATTTAAAGTAATATTAGAATTCTTTTTAGCTTCTTCATGGCCAAGCAGTTATTTCTTATCTTTAATAATATTAAAAAATTACCTGCCGTAGTGGTTGCTGTTCCAAACAGAGAAGGAGTCGTTGATGCTGCTGGAGTGCTGAAGAGAGACGGCTTACTAGTTTGTAAAGATCCAAAAAGACTGGGAGTACTAGTAGCCGGAGCTCCGAAAGTACCCCCAAATGCAGGTGCCGATGTAGCCGTAGCCCCAAATGTGCTACCGAATGCTGGAGTGGTGCTTGCGGCTTGACCAAAGGCAGGAGCAGCTGTTCCCGACTGCCCAAAAGTGCTTCCAAACGCTGGAGCTGTACTTTGCTGCCCAAACGCTGGAGCGGCACTTGGCTGACCAAAAGAGGGTGTTGCACTCGGTTGACCGAAGCCAACAGTAGCGGTTTGTTGACCAAAAGCAGGAGTTGCACTCTGTTGACCAAAAGCCGGGGCTGAAACTTGCTGCTGCCCAAAAACAGGAGCTGCTGCTTGTTGACCAAAGGCTGGAGTGGCGGTCTGTTGTCCAAACGCGGGGGCTATACTCGACTGTCCGAAAGCAGGGGTGGCGTTTGGTTGTCCAAAGGATGGTGTTGCAGTCTGTTGACCAAATGTACTACCAAAGGTTGGCTGTTGAGAGGGCGTTCCAAAAGAAGATCCAAAACTACCGAATCCAGCGGAAGCAGTTGTGGTAGCTGGTGTCCCAAAAGATAAGGGAGCAGCAAATGCTGTAGCTAAAATTAATTAAAGCGTATTATTTAATAAAAATCTATATTCAAAATTGAAATTGCAAAAAATTTAATCAAATGAAAGTAGGTTCTAATTTTCAAAATTCTAGAAAATACAACATAATTAAGCAAAGTTGAACATCTTTTCCTTATTTAGTGTACTGTATAATCTAATAAACGACCGTTCATGTAATTTTCAGAAAAAAATATCTTAAAACTGAAAAGGTCACATTATAATCTACACATGTTCGTTATATTTTACCGTGGTGTTCAGTAAAATGTTAGCAATTTTGTGAGAGTTTAATAATTTTTGATTGTCTACATATTAATCATGTTAAAATAAAATCGTTGATACAATAATCAATATTTTGTGTAAATTATTAATTTGTGTTTATTTAGACTTTAAAGTAGGTAAATTAGGCGAAATTTGTACACGAATAAAAAAATATGACTGCAAATCCAGAATTCGTTAAGGTATGTATCAATTTTTCACAAATATTAAAACAAAACAAAAACTAACTCGAATATTTAATTGCTTTTAGAATCCCACACCAGAATTTCTTTTTCCAATTAAATTAAATACATCACTTATCAAAAAAATTACTTCTTCAAGAAACCCCTTAGATGCATTAAATCGTTTTAGCTTTGGAGACAATTATAACAATGATACGAATGAAAACGAGAATTTTCTAACCATGGAAAACTTACTGCCTGAAGAAAATCAAACAATATTAGAGAATGATACAGAAAATTTCAGTGACACTGATATAACTGCTTCCCCAATTGAATATATCAGTACTACATTGACCGACTTAATACAAAATACTACAAATAAGTTTAATGACAATATATTAACGACTAACACTTCATCTTTCAATAAAACAATATCTGAAGATGCAAAAATTGGAAATAATGAACAGCATTCTACAACTACAATAATCAATATTATAAAAGAAAACTCTACAACGTCAAATATTATACACTCTAAAGATACAGCTTCTAATTATTTTACTGATCAGATAACTAATCTAAAGAAATTGTTTAAACCACCCCAAATATCATCGAATGGAACAAGTAATGAATTATTTCCAAAACAAGATATCATAAAAGCTGCTTCGCATGACACACTCTCAATATTCTTGTCCGTTATAATTCCTGTTCTGGTTACATTTACAATTATCATGATATATATGTGGATAAAGCAGAGGAAGAAATCCTTTCAAGTAAGGCACAACATCAATGAGTTATACTCAATTAAAACTAAAAACCAAGACACCAAAGGAAATGATATTGCTGGAATGATTGATGATCAACTGTGTAGTGCTATTTTGTAAAAATGATTAGATGGAATGCATATTTCTATTAGTAAAATTCATATTTTGTACTAAAATGTCTTGTTTATTTATGAATTGTTAAAATACTTGTATTCTTTTTATTAAAATAAAAAATTAACTATTAAGCTATTAATTAGCTCATAAGTAATTAAACACCCCCGAAAACATAATTTTGCTTTAGCAAATATTTAAAATGAAAAACATTTACAGGTAATAACAATTGCAAAGTGAAAAATAAATTGCACTTACGTTTATTTGGTGTACTACCAAATGCAGATTGACCAGAACTTCCAAAACCGAAAGACATAACTGTAAAGAAGTTTATCGTCACTTTGAAAATATAAAATTTGAGTTATTACAATTACTTTTTCAATAAATTAAGAAAAATTGTTTAAACAGACAGTTAGGTAACCTAAAAACAAGACATGCAAACGTCTCCTTGTTCTTCTATGATTAAAACCAGAGATAAGATTAAGTGAATGTGTCTAAAATCCCCTAGACGATAAATCTGCTAATGTATTATTTGCGTATAAAACGCAAGCTGGAATGCTTTTTAATTATTACCTTTCATTCAACAATAATTATAATACTGCTAAGGTAGAATGCAGCTAGTACATTTAGTTTTCAAACAATTCAATTATCAAATTCATTTTATGTTCATCAAAAAAGAATACGGAACGACTGGTCAAACGACTCGTAGTTTTTGAAATTTTCGCGTGAAAAACATCAAAAAAATTCATTATGCCACTAACTACATGACAAATAATATGGATACATTTGAATAAGATCATCGAGCGATGCATCGAGAACTTCTAATTGCTAAATTCATTTCACAATTACATAAAAATAAAACAAAATTATCAGTGCTCCACCTGTTAGTAAAATGTCCCGATAATTCTCTCAACTATAATTTGCAACTCTTATTCAATAAAATTGGTGTATACTTAATCAACTACAAAAAATTCAAAATCACTAATTAAATATTTTATTGATTTTGCAATAAACACATAAAGACAACATATATCTTTCCACTACAGTAATCAATTATTTATTTTTTTTGTAATTAAACACAAACACCTGCAAGCAAAACTAAGCAAGCATATATAATAATTACTGTTTTTCTTTAATTACTTTATAATTTTTTCTTAATTATAAAAGCTGCCTCACACCTATGAAAAGACACGCAGTAATATTAAAAGCTGCAAAATAATATAAATAATGCCATAATATTCAGTGCAGTGAAATGGTTACGTGGAAAATTTAATAGAAGGAAAATACCGTACATAAACGAATACTTAAATACAACATAAGTAATATGAAGTATATATTAAAAAATTGAGAAATTAAATAGATACTTAAAATGAATAAAGCCTTCTAGATTTAATTCTGGAAGAGAGTCCTTGTAAATTCCATGTAATCGAGAGCACCTGCAATAGGTCTTTCTGTTTTTGGCTCCACATACGGTTTCATTCGAGCTACACAATAATCTGCCATCTCCTTTGTAAGATTCTAAAAATTATAATCGAAATTTAAATTTGAATCGACGCATATCCCGAAAACATATCGGCGTAAATTAATAAATTAAATTCATAATATACATCTGAAAAATATAAACTTCAATAGTATCTAAAGTATTTAGACGAAAAGATAATCTCACAATTTAATGTTCACCTTTGTGTTTTAACATGAATGAAAAAAATAAACTACAAACAATACATTGAACATGGGAAACTTACGGCATATAACTCTTCCTTGGTGACGTAAGGACGGTCTCCAGCTGTTATCGCTCTAAACGCTTTCTCTATCTCTTCAGAACTTTGAACATTTTCAGTTTCTTTACTTATCATGAACGCCATGTACTCTTGTAATGAAACGTACCCATCCCGATTAGGATCTACCACGTCTGTAAAAATGATAAATAGAAAATTACACATATTTAAAACGGGAATAGAAGAATATATTAATTACCAAGTATAGCGTCAAATTCAGGATCTGGTTGACCTTCCTCCACCATTGGTAAATCGTAACCAAGTGCACGAAGACAGGACTTAAATTCTTGGTGGTTCAATTTTCCAGATTTTTCCTTGTCAAAGTGCTTGAACATCATCGAGAACTCCTTCAGAGCATCTTCACTTACACCTATTCAAATAAACAGTAATTAAATTATACGTTGTTATAAATATTTAAAATTGATAATTCTGAACTTACCCGACTGATTGCGTGCCTGTATTTGCTGTTCAAGGTTGTGCTGCATTCTCATGCCTAATTGATCAAGCTGATCCCACTGTTGTGCAAGCCCTACGGTAGAATGCTCGGTGTAACGATTGTCCAGGATAAGGTGTTCCTCAAGAATAGCCCCAAGATCTTCGATTTTCTTCAAATCTGAACGACGTGCCCTGACCTCGGCTGCTTTACGTTTTGTTGCCTCAAGTTGTTGTTCCAATGAACCTGAACCTTCCATCATTGAAGTACTACATAAAGAAAAGAAATAAATAAACGTCATTGGACTTCTAAACATAAATAAAATTGTATTTAAATAAGTTGCCAGGAATTATTACACAAAACAATTGCATTCTTGACCAGTAGTGTAAATTGTTAGTAGTACAATAATTTGAGTAAATTTTCACTGTTTTATAATTTACGATTAGTTGAAAAATTTTCGCAACCACCAAAAACAAAATGCTTAAGTAATAAAAAAATTGAAAAATAAACAGTAAAAAAATACAGATATATAAAGGTTTCAAAATAAGAAACGTAAAAATTAATAATGTAATAGGATCACAGTTTTGTATTGAATTAGTTTAATATGAAAAAAATCTGTTGTTTTAATAAAAACAAAAATTAGTATAGTATTTGTTAATTATGAAAACATCAAGCATATACTACTAGTAATATACACCGATTTGTTACATTCTGGTTGATAATGAAAGGGAGTTAAAATATTAAGGAAAATATTATAAAAAACATATTAAAAGCGGTCACACACAATAATTACCCATCCCAACCAAGAATCTTGTAACTGAAAATATAATTTAAGTATGTAATTAATTTCTGTCATTCTCCAAAATACTAAACAATTAAACAAGTAAATGAAATTTGTATCAAACGTAACTTAAATTTCTACCACTAGAAATTAATATTTACCATAAAACATTAAATAAATTGTTCTTACCGAGTCTCTGTTAGCCACTGGTGGAAAGCATTTGCGTGTTTAGCAAATTCCTTTCGTAATTTGTCGTTCTCTTCTTGACGTTGTGCCTCCTTTGTCAATTCAACATCACGTTCAGCTATAATCTTTTGCAAATTGCGCCATGTCTCTTCGAGAGCCTCCATATTAAACCAGGTGTACGGATTTGGACCCACATTGAAACTCTTGATCTTCTGATCAAGAGCGGCAAGTGCTTCAAAATCTGCTTGTGCACTCGACAAAGAAGCCTGTAATAATAAAGGGAAATTTTAAGAAAACGAAATTAATTTTTTAATAATGTGCTAAACAGGAAGTTACTTGTAAGTAAAAATATTCAGAACTATGTACTTATTTCTCTATCAGAATTCCTAAAGTTTTATTAAACCAGTTTATGTATTATCTACCTACCTGAAACTGAGCGTGAGCCTCTCTTAAAGCTTTGATTTCTTCAATAGAATTGCAACGAACAGGATCGGTCAAATCTTCTTCAGCATTCTCGAACCAGGAGTTGAAGGCAGATGCTTTCTTGGCAAAAGTAAGGAATAATTCCTCAATCTGCCTGAATTGCTCTTGCATACGTAAAAGTCGTTGTTTGCGGGCATCAGAATCGGCAAGCAATTTCTGCCATCTAAATTAAAAAAAATAAATAAATTTTGGAACTTAATAATGTATAGATTGGCTACGACATTTTCATATTCAAATAAAATAACTTTTTAATGCCGCAACACTTTTAAAAATTACCTGGCAATAACATCGGCATGTCTTTGTAAAATTGCATTGCTTTGATCATGTTTTGCGGCTATTAGTTGATCTTTAAGAGCTGTTATATTTTGAATACCTTCATGTTCAAAGGCGGTGAGACCTGTAAAATAAATATTTTAAAAAATCCAAGAAATAGTTTAAGACTGACTACGGCGTTATTATAATTTTAGTAAACAGTGCCTATCAGTATTTTTTTAAAGTAAGGCTTACCTGCATCGAATGTTTCTTGTTTAGTTAAAAGAGTTTGTACGCTCGACAAATCCCTGCCATATTCTTCATTCTTCACGTGGCTTTCCTTGTCGGCTATCCAGCTTTCAACAACGTCTGCTTTCCACATAAATTGCAGATAAGCCGAATTGTCCACCAATTTGGCCTTGCGTCTAGCAGCTAAAGCCGCCAAGTTGTCGAGTTTACTCTGCAGCTGTTGGCAACGTTGTTCAATACTGTCCGCATGATGGTTACCATCAGTGATCAACTTCTTCCCAGCTTCGGTAATGTCTCGGCAACGTTCACTGTGTGCCTGGAAGTCAGTCTCGAAGGCGTCGTGTTTCTTCAAAAGGCCTATAAAGTAAATTAAATTTTCTGTGCCTACCTCAAGTGTTTGTTTTTTATTCTTACCTTGTACTGCTGCCATGGTATCTCCATAATCTTCGACGCCCAACAACTGTTGCTTTTCACTAATCCAAGCCTCTTCTTCTTCGACTTTGGCCAAGAACTGTTGGTAAGTTAGCGATTCGTCCAATTTTTGTCCTCTGGTAGCAGCCAGTTGTTTCAATTCAGCCCAGGCCTGATTCAATGCCTTGAGCCTTTGCTCGATTTCAGGCACACCCAAATTTGAGACATCCATTAATTTTTCGCCTGCTTCTTGAACTGCTTGGATAGCCGGTTCATGGGATGCAAGTTCAGCTTCAAGGCGCTTGTGTTTCTTTTTCAAATTTTGGACACCTGTTAAATCGCGACCATAGTCGTCGGACCCAACTAAAAGCTTCTTTTCCCTAAAATGAAGAGAAAAAGTTTATAAAGTTCTAAAATCTTAATTCTCTAAAGCAACTTACTTTATCCAGGACTCTTCATCAGCGATATCTCTGAAGAATTGATGTAATGTGTTAGCTTCGTTTAGCCGAGCCTGTCTGTGAGCTGCCAAATTCTTAATTCGTTCGTAACGTTCGTTAATCGATTGTCGTTTCTCTTGGATACTTGCAGTATCGAATTGGCCACTTTCAATCAAAGAATCTGCCTGATCGTTCATATCTTTAATACGATCTTCATGTGCTTGAATGTCAGCTTCAACAAGATGGTGTTTTTTCATCAGGTTCTGCACCGATGCTAAATCCTTTCCGGCATCTTCACTAGTCAATAAGCTTTCAACTTCGCCCAACCAGAAGTCCAAATCTTTGACGGCAGCAATGTAAGTGCGTTGTTTATTCGCTTCCTTAAGCTTCATAGATTTTTCGGTTGTTTTCTGTGTGAGAAATTCCCACTGTTCCGCGATCGATTCTAAACGTTTACGAACAGCTTCTTCCGATCCTGCGCATTGACGCTTATCAATCAAGTTTTCGCCATTGGCTAGTACAGATTGAATACGGTCAGCGTTGGCCGCCAGTTCAGCTTCGAATGCCTGATGTTTTTGGTGTTTTGATTGGATATTAGCCGGATCCTAAATGTAATTACAATTAAACTACTGTAGTCGTTACAAACAATAATATTTACCTTGTAACTTTCTTCGGTAGCAAGTTGCAATTTTTCTGCAATCCAATTTTCGATTTCGTCAGCATCCCTTGAAAATTGTTGAAGAGTTTGGCTTTCTCCTAATTTCGATCGCTTTTCAATAAGAGCGTCTTTCAAGTGACGCCAACGGTCAAGAACTTGATTACGCTTGTTGTCGATTTCGCCGGAAGCATAGTGACCATTCGATATCAACTGATCGGCTAAAGTTTGTAAAGCAGCGATTTTTTCCTCCTAAGATAGAAAGAAATATCATTAAAGAACATGTGAATGAGAATAGAAAGTATTCTTACGTGGGCATTGATGGCTTTGTCGAAATCTTCATGTTTTTTAATAAGGGCTTCTACATTGTCACCTTTTGAATCAACTTCTTCAGAAGCTAAAAATGCTTCTCTGTCGGACATCCAGTTTTCTGCTTGTTCGCAATCGCGATAGAAAAGATTCAAATCCAAATTTTGATCCAGTTGTACACGACGTTCAATCCAAGCTCTGCAAAAACGTGTCCAATGAAACATCTTGTATTATTATTACAAACAAAAACAAATAGATTGTCTCACTTTCAAAATTTGCAAAAACAAAAGGAAAACTGTTAACGTACCTTTCAAGTTCTTCTCGTGCTTTGTTTAACTGTTCCAATTTCTCTTGTATTTCTGGACTGGCATAATGATTGGATGACAGTAACTGTTGTCCAAATTGCTCCAAAGTATGAAACGTACCTGCTCTAGCGTCGATTTCTGTTCGATGTTCCTAATGAGAACAAACATTTTTAACCTAATTTTGCTACATAAAAAAAAATAACTAACACAACAAATTGTAATACACCATGAATAAGCAGTGCTTTGCTATAAACAATTAGTTAAAACGTGTAAATCTCAAACTGCTAACGGTATAGGCAGCTTAGCTTCACGAACTCTTTTTAGAAAATTACCTATCTGACAAGAACAAATAAAAAAAAATGACTATATAGTTTACCTTTCTCTTCAAAATTTAAAATACTATATACGTTCCAGTATAACAAGAGATTAAACAGAAAATTGTTTATTAAATGGCATCGTGTTGATGCATTTAAAACACAATTACTGTTAAATACTCTTACATAAAAAAATATTCAGTATCATTATATAAATGTCTTCTCCTTTTTAATTAATTCAGTAAACACGACTTTACGTATTATCGACGACTACATTAAGAATACCATTTAACTCTTGTAATTCTACAATAAATGAAAGTTTAAGTTACAAAACAGTTTGTTAAAGACCATTATGATATTTCGCCACAAAGTGGTTTCTTCAGGTAAAAGAAATACCAATACACTTTTAGTATTTGTTCCTCCTGAGAAAGTTACAGTGTGGATTATTGAGTCCTTAATAAACAATTTTGTAACTTCAACTTTGTGTTTGTTCTCGAAGTTAATATTATTTCAACCTTTATTATTATTCATCATAATAATTCCTGGTAATTACTTAAATTAAGAAACATTTCTGTCTGTAAGTGCTTGCCCTCTTCTTAAATTTTGAAAAATGACAAAACAGTTTTCCATTTTAAAAGAAATTGCTTATAAAAAATCACACTTTCTCTAATTCTTCGTAAAAAAATAAAACTGTTTATATTGCACACTTGACAACACTAAAAGTGTATAAACCTATTGCAATATTATATATTTTGTGCTATAGCATGTGCTTTGTTTAGTTGTTAGTAGAATACAACAAAGACTTCTCGTTATCTAAAAATTTTATTAGTAATTCAAGATTTAATAGCACTGCTATCATGCAGTACCTGTGGGATTCCATAACGTGCATCTATTTCAGCCCTGTAGTTCTGTAGTAAAAAACAAGTAAAAACCCATGTCAGATTACATATAAAAAAAGACGATGTACTATATTAAAAAAATATATAAACACCAAAAAACAATATGCAAACCTACCAAAAGCTACAGTCCTCTTGTTAAAAATGCATATATAAAACTCACTCAATTGTACTATTAATATCTTTGAAATAATAACCACTGCATTATGAAAATAGAAAATTATAATATAATTAGTAATGTTGAATGCACATTATATGTACATAATGTCCCAAAATTACTTTAAAAAAAATATACAACTTAATTCTTTGCAAAAATTCTGTTTTCTTTAACGTCTTTCATTATGATAGGACGTTAAATTAAGAAACTGTAATTGATTAATTTCTCAAATAAGTTAAAAAAACTGCAAATGGACACTGTTTCAAAATTTCACAAAGAATTGTAATCAGAATTAATTATTTCTATTAATATTTAATATTTAAAAAAGACGTCAGATAAAACAATACAACTGTTGTTAGAATAAATAGACATAAGAACAATTTTACTACATATGATAAAAACGAAATTTAAACAGTGTTCCAAACTAGAACCAACTTTTGGGAGAAATAAAATATATACCTTCTTATTCGTAACTTATTATTGCACACATAAATAAAAAAATAACAAGAACTAACCTGATGTCTTTCAATCAATGCCTCTGCTCCAGTTACATCGTTGGCCAACTCTTCAGAACTAACCAAACCTAGCATGGAACTTATCCAAGCGAGCAAATCGCGATGGTCGCTCAAGAATCTTTGTAAATCGTAAGCGTCTAGTAATTTTTCTTTGCGACTTGTAGCTTTAGCCGTGAGTTGTGTCCACAGTTCGTTAATTTCTGTTTGTTTGATATAAGTCTGTTCAGCAGATTCTGGATGAGTTTGCATCAAACGATTGGCGATTTCGTCCAGTTGTTTAATCTGTTCAAAATACAAAATTAACATCTCAATTGAACAATTCAAACTAGGTGTATGCATTACCTTATCGCCTAAAGCTGCCAAATCTCTTTCAAGTCCTTCGTGTTTTCGTTGAAGGGCTTGTACACTTCTCAAGTCCTTACCAAGGTCGTCATTATTAAGGGCTTCGTCCTTTTCTTGAATCCAATCTTTTGTTTCGTCGACGTCACGATGGAATCGCTGCACTTCATGGGCAGAACCCAATTGAGTAGCCCTTTCTGATGTCAATTGTTGCAAAGAACTCCACTTGTTGTTAAGATCCTGGTAAAATAAAAATAAAAAAAAATGAGAAAATTATACGAAAAAAAAAAATATTTTTTACTTCAAAAATAATAGTTTACTTACCTCGATTTGGGTTTGGATCTTAAGCGCAGCCTCCGTTTGTCCCAAAGAAACAAGTTGCATAGCAATTTCGTTCATTTCAGCCAAGCGAACTTCGTTGGCTTTAAGATCGGCTTGAAAATCGTCAAATTTCTTTTGCATCACTTCTACCTGTTCCAAATCTTCACCAACATCTTGTACTTGTGCATGCATTTCCTAAAGAGAAAACAAAACGCGTATTAATTAAACTCACTCATTAGTATGTTTGAATAAAATAAAAAACATACCTTATCTTTTATCCAATTAGATAATTCTGCTGCTTCACGTACAAGAACGTAAGCTTTTACGGTCTCGTTAAGTTTTTTTTGTCGTTCACGTGCTAAATCCAAAAGGTGGTCGTACTGGCCGTTAATTTGGGCTTGACGAGCCGGAATTGAATTGTTGTCAACCAAGTTTTGTTGGGAAGCAGTCAATCCTGCCTCAACTTTCTTTACGTAAGCTGCTGGCACAAATCCTTGACGATCATTCACCTCAACTTTCCACCAATCCTACAAATATTTTTAATCAATTATTTGCGAAGTAAACAAACAAAACAGATGACATTTAAATTCGTTTGAAGTGAATAAATGAGATCTTTAATATTAAACTTCTTTATTGACATTTGAACTTTAAAGGGTTTTATTTAAACAACTGAAATACACCAAAAATCAAACTTATTCCACTGTAAAATTAAAATAAATAATTTATAACTAACCTTGTTATTAGAATTAAGAAGAGTAAGTAAATCGCCCTTTTTCATGGATACTTCTCGAGGTGACTTTTCTGTGTAATCATAAAGTGCAACCACTGCTTCTTTACCAGTTACATCAACAACTGGGGGTTCTTGTTGCTGAAAAAAGGCAATATCAAAATGTGTTGTTTTATGATAACTACGAAATTACAGATTTTAAAAAATTATCAAGTTTAATAAAACAAACTAGTTTTATTTCCTATATGTATAATTATACATATATACCTATAGTTTAATGACTTAAATAAAAACAAATAAAACACAAACTCACTCTGCACGATTGTGCTTGTTCTTTCAAGGCTTCAATTGTGTTTCCAAAAGCCAAGAGATCACTCATGAGGGCTTCATGCTTTTTAAGAAGAGCTTCTGAGGAATCCTCATCCTTACCATAATCGGTACTGCTAACTATCGGTTCTTTCTCCCTCATCCACGATTCAGCTTCATTTGCATCTGCGTAATATTGGTGGGCTTGAAGGGAATCTTCCAAATCTTGTTTCCTCTATTAAAAAATTTGAATTGTCATACAACAGTACGAATTTTAAGTGAAATATTGTAAATACCTGATTGGCCTTGTCTTTGAGGTGGTTCCAATGATCTTGTAAGGTCGTAACTCGATTTCTGATTTCATCACTTGCAAAGTGTTCATCTTCCATCATCTGTTTGCCAGCTTCCACCACGGCAGTGATTCGACTGTCGTGATTGTTTATTTCTGCCAAAACAGCCTGGTGCTTCTTTATTAAGTTTTGAACTCCAATTAAGTCACGACCTAAAAACAATATTAGGTAATTCGACTTGATAAACAGGATTTTATTTTACTTTCTTACCTCTATTGGTGCTTGCAGCTACTGGTTCTTTCTCTCTAATCCACGACTCCTCGTCTTCGATATCCCTAAATAATTGCTGAACCTGTAACGAATCCAGAAGACGCTGTTTCCTTATTGCCATTGGCGTTTGCAAAGCTGCATAGCGATCGCAGAGTGCTTTTTGTTTCGAACCGATATTGTCTGCATCAAAATGACCCCGTTCAATAAACTGTTGTGCAGCCGCCTTTATAGCTTCGATTCTATCCTGATGCGAACCAACATCGGCCTCCAAGAGAGCATGCTTCTTCTGTAGATTTTGTACTGATGTCAAATCCTGCAACAATTCTTATTATGCAATTAGAAAACAAATATACAATCAATGACTGACCTTTCCGTAATCTTCAGACATGAGTTGGCCTTCAATTTCTGACAGCCAAAGTTCAATGTCTTCAACAGTGCGATTGAACTGCTGTTGTTGACTTGCTTCTTGCAGTTTCGATCCCTTCTTGTCTGTTGCTTGGACCAGTGTTTCCCAAAGGTTTACAATTTCTTCCATACGACTCTGGATTTGAGCTAAAAATCGAATTAAAAAAAATATATTTCATTCTCTTTTTATGTGAGTTCTTTTATTTAATTTGATCACAAACTTACGAGACGCATAATGACGAGCTTCAATAAGTTCTTGTCCTGTTGAAGTGATTTCTTCCATGCGACTTTTATTCGCGTTCAATTCCTGTTCGAAATTTTGGTGCTTCTGTACTTTTCCACCCAAATTTGTAGGGTCCAGATAGCTTTCATCAGTAGCGAACTTTAATTTTTCGTTGATCCAACCCTTTGTCTCATCGCAGTCTCTTTCAAACTGTTGTAATTTGTAGGCATCTTCCAAAATTGCACGACGCAGGGCAGATTTTTCTTTCAGAGCTGAACGACGCTCCAACAACTATAAAAAATGAATGTCACTAATGAAAGAAAAAAAAGTTAATTGAACAATAAATACCATTGCTCTACGTTGAGCCACATCGTCTGCTGCATAATGTTCACCATCAATCAGTTTTGTTGCAAATTCGTCTAAGGCTTTGATTTTTTCTTCTTGAGCTGCTAATGACTTTTCAAAATCTTCATGTTTCTTGATGAGATCTTCAACTGAATCTAACGAGTCGCCAAGGTCCTCGTTCGACAAGAAAGCCTCCTGTTTTGCCATCCATGTGTCTGCTTGTTCAGTATCACGATAAAAGAGCTGCAAGTCCATGCATTGTTCGTACAGAATGCGCCTTTCTTCCCAGAGGGCTGTGAGAAAAAATTGATTTTTTAAAATTATATTAAATTCAACACAACATACACAAAGATAGATTATTTTTAATAACCCTGCATATATTTAGAAAAGACAAATAACTAGCAAAACTAAAAATTATTTCCAATAAGCGTTCTATACAATCGAATTATTTAGTGGATACATACAAACACTTACTAACTGTTTAATATATATGTAACTGTCTTTACCTAAAAGAGAATTTTTGTCTGATGCCAATTGAGAAAGTTTGTCTTTGATTTCATCAGCTGCATAGTGTCCCTTATCAAGTAGTTGCTTTCCAGCTTCTGTGGTAGCTGCAAAACTGTCTTCGCGTGCGTCAATCTCTCCTTTATGTTCCTGATGACGCTCAAGCAACGCTTCGGCGCCTGCAACGTCTTTGGCTAATTCGTCTGCAGAAATGATTGCCTTCATGTCGTTGATCCATGAAACCAAATCACGAAAATCAGCAAGGAAACGGTGCAAGAAATAGGACTCATCTAATTTTTCACGTCTTTCCTGTTAAAAAAAAAAAAGGAAAAATTAGTTAATATTAAACTATTTTATATAATGTCTGCTAGCATACTTTAGCTTTGGCTGTTAATCTCTCCCAGTATGCTTCAATCTCTGCCCTTTTAGCCTGTATTTGCTGTGCATGATCAGGATGAATGCCACACAGCCTGTCAGCTTCCTGTCCCAATGTGGAAACTTTGTCTTCCAGAGCAGCCAAATCTCGTTCAACTCCTACAAATGTCCAATAATATACACATCTTTAAACTTTACAAAAATATAGGCAAACAATCACTAAATAGCTCTAAAGTAGGTTTTTAGTTACCTTCGTGTTTTCTTTGAAGTGTTTGTACACTTGCCAAATCCCTTCCGTAGTCGTCAGAAGACAAAACCACATCTTTCTCGGCAATCCAGGCGACAGTTTCGTCAGCATCCCTGTTGAATCTTTGAATTTCATGAGCCCCAAATAATTTTTCTTGTCGCATAACGGCCATTTGTTTCAAACGTTGCCAAGCAGCATTTAACTCCTGCGAAATAGTGGTACAAAACTACTGATTTTAATGATATTAACTTTCAAACTTACATCTTTCCGTGTAATAATTGTGTCTCGATCAGGATGACCATCAAGAAGAAGTTTCTCTGCCATCTCATTAACTTCGGTGACACGGTATTCTTGAGAGTTCATATCCTTTTGAAACTCGTCGAATTTACGTTGTAAAACTTCCACATGCTCTAAGTCGTGGCCAAACTCTTCTGTAGTTAAAAACGCGCCTTTATCGTTGATCCAAAACATTACCTCGTCACATTGTCTTAAAAATTGGACGAGAACCAAGGCTTGCTGAAGTTTCATTCCCTTCTCCGCCAACTTCGACAAGAGCTGTTCCCATAATCGGTGAAGTTCCTCTAAAATTACATTTTTATTTCATTAAAAAGAATAAGTCCGGTTTTCATTTGAACAACCGCATACCTAAACGCTTTCTGATGGTCTCTGATTGAAAATGATTATGATTAATCATGTCTTGGCCGGTTCTATCCAACACAACAATCGCATTGCTATGAGCTGATACTTCAGCTTCAAATGCTTGATGTTTTTGAATTTTTGCCTAAAATAAAAAAGCACAACTAGGAAGCATAGTTTAAAAAAAACAACAACATTAGCAATGAAAAAACACAGTTAAGTGTATGAAAACAGGAATATAAACACTTTATTAAAGCAAATATTTGTTAATATAAAAACTGTAAGTCTGTCTTTGAAAATAAGTCAAAAAAAGATTCAGGATAATTTTGTCAGCTTTATGATTAAATTGGAATATGTACATTAAATTACACCACTAAAGCTATTTACATTATTTATATTATATATAAAAACTCTACACACAGACATGTAGTACCTAACATAATAGGTATTGTTTATTTATTGGAATAGTAATTATGTAGACAACTCATAAAATAAATGTTTGCAATTAAAAATTGAACAGTACCCCTTATTGAGGTATTAAAAGGAATACATTTACATTGCATTTTGTCTTACAATTGCAAAAAAGGACTGGTCATGAGAACATTAAAATGTTTTGGTTAATTATATTATACATGTATTACTGATTATGTAATTTTTTGATTTGATTGATTTTAGGAATTAAGATGTGATAAAAAACCATTAAGCAAGGAATTAATGTGGCAAAAGGTATTATCACAAGCCTCTAAAACAACCTAATAAACATACCATATAAACCGAAGCATCATGTGTTTTGTAGATCTACAAAAATACCTAAAGTTTAAGCAACAATTTTCAATTCAACACAATTTAACTTTGCGCAAAGATCAAATTGAAAAAGTGAAAGAATAATTACAATAGTTAAACCGATGTGAAAAATAAATTCCCTGTCCATAAGTCACCATAGCTTTTGAAAAATTATTATATTATAATATATAACACAGTAGAGCAGAAGATGACAAGTTATTACACGATTCAGAATTGAATAAACTTAAAAGAAACTTTTAATAGGGGTCCAATACATTCAAGTTGATTTTATGTGACTGTATAATGTCGATTTTATTTATTCTTTGCTGTAAATTAAAATTATCAAATCCTGTAAAGTTAAACCATACTGACCTTGCCCTCAAAACAGTTTAATTTATAGAAATGATTGGACACAAAAGGCAATTCCAGTATTTATTATATAATGACATTAATTGATTAAATTGAACATATTTTAAATTAGATGAATCATTAATTATAAATGATTATATGATATATGATATCCTGATTATTTAAAAAAATACATTTTTTGCTAACAAACTATAATATACGCAAAATTAAATTTTTAATACTTTTTAACTTCCTTGTAGGATCATTGATTAATTAAAAAATATACTTTACCTGCAAATTGGTAGGATCTTTGTAGCTCTCATCACTAGCTGCTTGAAGTTTTTCTAAAATCCATGATTCTAGCTCATCTGCATCTCTTTTAAAGTACTGGAATCTACGAGAATCTTCAAGTTTCTCTCTTTTAGCTCTGGCATCAGCTTTGAAATTATCATAACGAGTCAAAACCTGTTGACGCCTTTCCTGGATGTCTTCTGCTGTTTCCAAAATTTTTATTTCCTTGGGGGGTGGAATCTGCTCCATGGTTTCATTTACAATCTTCTTCTATCTAATGCAATGAAAAATGTAATTGTTTTAATTCATACTGACTGAAATATTTTAAATTCCAAAAAGTAATTAAATAAGTAGGTAGGCATTTATAAAATTCACAATAAAACTTGTATAATATTAAGATTAAACAAAAAATACTACCAAATTTCAAGTCACATCATGAATAACTAAGTACTACAATTACTAATACTTAACAGTTTCAATCTAATCAATGGGATGGGCAAATAAAATTAGGTATGACATAATACCTTCCATGCCCATCTGAATATGTAGGTCGGTATTTGAAGACTGAATAAGAAATAAAAACTTGGGTAAAGAATTCTACTATTGATTGACCTAATAGAATAACTTGATCAATATTTTGTTGCATTTTGCTGCAGTACTATAAAGCAATAGCTTTTATTAAACTAATTGAAACTTACAGCAGATATCTATGTTTTAGGATTTCATGTATTTTATTGCTACTTTCAAAATATTATAGAATGCAGCATTTTTGAGAAAGCATTTTACGTTATTTAAAGGTATACAGTTATTTTTATTAAAAATGTACTACGATTCAACATCAGCGACAAACTGTAGAAAAACTTGGGTGTGGTGGCCATAAATTGTTTAAAGATGATAATTAAATAACCAATTAAAAGTACAATTAATTAAAACTATATTACTGTAATCATAAATTATCTACCTTTTAATTCGATCAGTTTTAATACAATTATTCACTCTTTCACTAATCGTAAAATATTTCAACCCACTTATTCGTACTTCTAGCAATCACTCAACCATAGATCACTCAACTGAACCTGACAACATACACACAACTGTCCACTTCACATTACAATGCTGTATTGGCTAAATGTTCCTTATAACGTGAAAGTTATAAATTATCTATGGTTATAAATAGAGAAAAAGAAGAAAAAATTATTATAACCCTAAATTTGAGCGACTATATTATTTAATTTATATTTATTTTATTCACTTATTTTACATAACTAATAATGTCTATGAATAGAAGTCTTCCTCAAAGTAAAGAAGCCTTATTAAAATCGTATCGCACAAGACTAAAAGATGACGTAAAAAGTATGTTAGAAAACTTTGAAGGTTAGTAACTTTGAAAATGTTTTATTAAAGTTCAAAAGAGTCCCATGTACTTATTCTATTTTACAGAAATTGTAAAGCTTGCCAAGGGAGAACATGATACACAACTTTCACGTATGACTCGATGTGAGCAAGACACTTATGAAATGCATGTTCGTGCAGCAAATATTGTGAGAGCTGGTGAATCCTTAATGAAATTAGTATCTGATATAAAACAGTATCTTATATTGAACGACTTTCCTTCAGTAAATGAAGCAATCACGCAAAACTCCAAGCTATTTAGGTAAAGATTAAAAAACATAAATTAAATTTGTTTTTCAATCAATTTGCCAACAGGACAAAACAGGCAGAGTGTGATCAGAAGTTGATGTCCCTTAGAGACGATATGGCAGCCGATTTGTATGATCTCGAAGAGGAATACTATAATAGTATAAATAAATAACATGGCTTTTGTTGTTGGTAAGATTAAAAATTCATTATAATAATTTATGTCATTAGGCACTGGGTATTTATTTGAATTTTTCATTTTCAAGGGTCATTTTACCTTATCAATTAACGTGATATCTAATTTATCCAGTAATGCTGTCATGCCCCATTTACATATTTGTAAATTACATTAATTAATAAAAAAATAAAGTCAGATTGATTTTATTGGACCAACATAAAATAATATAATGAATAATTTTACAAACTTCTTTTTAAAGTCAGCATTAGGTACTGTTAAATTATTTAAAATAGGAATAAATATAAAAATTATGTTAATAATCTAAGGAAACTATTTCTTAAAATTGCCCTATTTTTTCTTTGGCTCTTAAGGCCCACTCAATAACAGTTAATAGTCAAAATGGAAAGTTTAAAAAAAATATTTATCTTATCCCTTTGAGTAGATATAAAACGAATAGTAGCGCATATTAGAACCATTTTTAACAAAAAGAAATATCTTCTATGGTCGCGAACGTTTAATTGGGAAATTCAGAAAATATTAAGGGTGTACATTTGGAGCACGACTCTGCATATATGCGAAACGTGGACAGAACAGAAACTAGGGAATTAATATAAGGATATAGGATGGTAGCACAACTCCTGAGACATGAAGGGATACCTAGAGACATACTAGAAGCAGAAACAGGTGTTACAGGGCAGAGGAAGATTCACATTAGATTACTTTTCACAAATAGTTAAGGGCAATCAGGCATTCAATTTTCTTGGAATATGCTTATGATATGAAACAAAGGTGTGTGTTTATCCAGTCTTTAAACTGACGACCTTGTGATGATGTCCTGATGATCAGTTAATATAGTTTGAGACTGCATGATCATTGTATTTGTCATAGGAAGATATTTATGTCTTTTGATATACTCGATTTTATTGCAATGTGTTGGATGATCGTGTGGGGTGGTTGGAGGTTTGACCATGTTATTTCCACTCGTCACACACCTACTTTTGCACTTATTCTTTGCATAATCGGAGCATAACCAGAAAATCTTTTTAGCATCTTCTGTTTTTCTATTCATAAAATATAAGTAATTCTCGTGTACTAAATAGTCTTTGCCTCTTGAATTTTGAACGAAGTAAAAATCTGCAATGGAAACTTCAATTAAGTTACAACTTAAAACTTAATAATAATAGTCTATTTACGAAAGACAACAAAAAATAGAATAATCGACCTAAAAAGTTTTATTTTACATTTTTCGTAAGTTAGTCTAATGTACAGTACACTAAAATAATAATTACTAACGAATGGTACAAATGTTAAAAAAAACACAGTTTGCAGAGAAAATAATTGTATACATATAAAATTAATTAATTAATTCACGTCCACCTTTAATATTTCGTACTCCGGATAATCTTCTCCCATAACAATATCGTTTGTAACATCACCACCACTTATTTTTTCTTTAATTCTGTCGGTATGTGGTGGATGACTATGATTAGATTTGTATCGCATTATTAATCCTCTGACATCTGATACACATCGGGCTCTGCACTTGATTTTATAGTAGTCCGAACAAACCCAAAATATTCTATTGCTCTTCTGATGATTTGCGTAATAAATGTAATTTTCGTAAACCAAACATTTCCGACCTCTTCTTGTCATGGAAAATATAGCAACTGCAACACAGAAATTAAACAAATTAATATCAACTTTTAAGTTTTGAAAAATAATAATATTATCTACTAATATAGTAAAAGAAATATGATTAATCCACCAATTAAGCATGCTTTTTTTATTTAATATTTAATTGTAGGCACGTACCGCAATTTATCTATTACTATGGCATACACTTACAATTAGTTTTCTTTTAAAAAAATTAAAAACAAATGACTATATCTGTTTTAAAAACGATTTCACATTTTTCCACTGCACATTTAACTATGTTGAATTTATAATGGATCTGTTTGAGTAAAATAGCCGGATTATTTTAATTTTATTTCGAAAAATATATAAGTACAATCTTAATAAATAAAAAGTGAAAATAATTAAATAAATACACCTATAATATACACGTCCGTTAAAATATTGTTTACCAATATTTTTGTCGTAAAAATTGAAATTTATTCTAGTTTTTGAAATATAATCCTTGGAATTAATTTGAAGCTAAGTGAAATTAGAAATATAGTGTTATTTGCCCATCTTATTCTACTTTCCCACCCATTCCCACATTCCTAATAGCAGGCTGAAGAGGGCCTTCTCCCTTTTTCTCCCGCTTTACACTAGGTCGCAGGGACCATCTGTCCATCACATTAGTAACTAATAGGAATAAAACACCCTAAATTTTAACTACACATATTAATTTATAATTATCTCTTATGCGTTTTATAAAAGCGATATTATTTTGTTTGGGAATTGAAAACAACAATTTCAGAGTATTTAAAATGGTTATTATTAAGTTCTTGTTTATTATTTACATTTTGGCCATACTTTAATATCTTCATATTTAATACTGAATGTTTTGTCCCTAACAACAGTTAAAACTTCGTGACTTAAAATATGCGCGTGTTGATGGCTCATATCAGGCAGATGAGTGTGAATGCCTGAGAAATATATGGTTTGGTCAAATCCTATTGTACACCTTGCTTTGCATGTCCCAGCATCGTACAAGTAGCACTTCCAGTATGTCACTTTTTGGCTACTCCTGTGTTTAATATATTTGTAGTTTTTTACCAACAGTTGAGGAAACTGTCGAGGTCCTTGAATAAAGGTCACAATCTCTGAAAAAATAATACGCGTTAGACAAAAATGCATTGAGTTATTTTATTTATCGATAACCTACTCAGTAAAGGCAAATCATTGTAGCTTTCGAAGTTGTAACAAAAGTATTACCCCGCTTATGAGTCCGATTGTCATTCTTTTTTCTTGCAAAAGGGGTATTATGAATAAGTATTTGATTAACGAACTAAAAATTATTAAAAACACTTATTTCAACAAAATTAGCGTTAATTCGGTAATATATAGAAAATGGAAGTTAACAATAAATCAAAAATGATATTTAACTTTTATGAAACGATTATAACAGACATTTACCTACATAACGCATATGCAAAACACGGATTCAATTACAGAGAGTATATTTTACAAAAGAACTACTAAAATTACATACTGTATATACGTAGATCGATAAAATAAAAATTAAACAAAATAAAGTAATTCAAACACAGTTCTTATTCTATAGATTCATATTGTGCTTGTGAGTTCGAGTGTGCCATTTTCGAATTTGTTTTGGACTCTCATAATGTTCACTTTTTGCCTTCTTAAACGTGAAATGTCGGATTTAATGGGAAGTAATTGATGATTGTGGGGTACACCATTGAAACGAACTGTTCTTTCAAACGTTGTAAGTCGCGATTTGCATTTACTCTTTGGATACTGACAGCACCTCCAGTAGGTTCTGCTATTGTTCATATGATGGTATGTGAATTCGTGGTTTTCGAATATTATTTTCGGATATTTCTTTCCCTGATCGATGTACAACATACCTGAATATAAAACAATATGAAAGATTAAAGTATTCTCTAAAACGAATCTTATACTCTAAAGATATGATGCAAAAATTATCAACTACTTTTAAGACATAGAATGCTTGCTATTAAAGTAAAATACTTTTAAAAAATTCCGGAAGTTCTGCAACAAAAAGTCGAAACTCACTGTGTTGGTCACAAAATGAAAATACTTTAACACAAAATTTCACTTAAAACGATAGTAAATGTTAATGTTGTTCAGACAGTGCTTTGTGAATTCAAGTGATGTAGAAAGATTTGAATAAAATGTCCTATAAAATTCTCTTCAGCGGTAACAAAACAACTTGTAAAGTATAATAATTTATTATTCTGTATTAATACAATAATTATTCTTAGAGTAAAACTACAATAGTAACATTTTAATATTACAATTTGTATTATTGGGACCATTTTTTATAAGTACATTGTAAATCGTCTGAATTTTTACAAATTTGCTGGCAATAGCCATTTTCAACTCTGACACTATCTTGAATGGTAAACTGCAATTTTCTTCACTTTTCTTAGTTCACAAACTTCTGCTCAACTATTTCCATCATTTCCGAAGTCCCAAGAAAATTACAATTTTATTTTGTTATTTTCTACTCGATATTGCATGAGATTTCTAGACTTGTTATTGCACCATCAAGGGTAAATAATACTATTCCTCCTAAAAATAGTCTTCAGCAGTAATAAATGATTCAGATAATCAATCCCAATTAGCATGACGTCCATCAGCCTCTCTAGCGTGAGCATTTCGTAGAATTAATGACTTATTAGTTATATGTACAAGTCACTGCAAATGAATAAGTCTAATTCATTTCGACCTTATAACGGTTACCACTTGAGTATATAAACAAAAATTAGAATTACTTTCCCTCACAGTAGGTGAATGATTATGTGACTGTTTGTTTAACTTCAATGTCCTTCCATAAGTCATAATTCGGGCTTTACATTTATTCTTATGGTAATTGCAACACCTCCATAAAGTCCTTCTTTCATTACGCTTTTCACACACGTAATCGTAACCCTCGAAGTTAATTTTCGGATTTTTCTTCCCTTTCTCGAAGTGCAATACACCTGAATATAAAAATATTGATAAGATAAGATATTAGACATAAGTACGCACATAAATAAATTTCAGTTTCACCGTTCGTTAGGCAGGACCTTAAAATATTACCCTTATAATGCCTATTCGGTACACGTCGAGTTGAAAAGTTCTTTCAAAAAGCTTCTATTAAAAATTAATAAGCTCTTATATATTACTGAGGTCATTTTCTTTTTTCTTTCGGTAAAAAATAATACAGTAATCATGAATAAAGTTTATTTCAATAATAGTAATGGTACAATGCAGTTTAGTGTTGTGCCTTTTTACTTTTTATCATCTCTAATGATATTTACAACTTGAGATGTTAATTTAATAACGTCTGGGTTAGATGGTTTTGGAGGATGATTATGAACAGCACTATTAACTTTGACATTCCTTCCAAAAGTCACCAGTCTACATCTACATTTAGATCTTATGTGATGATTACATCTCCACCAAGTTTTAGAATCGCTCCTGCTCTCCAACAAAAAATCGTAACCACCAAATATAATTGTAGGATGTTTCTTCCCTAATTTGAAGTACAAGATGCCTAAATGAA